TGTTCTAAATCCGCCAATCAATATTCACCTCGACAGTGTCACCGGCGCCGCACCGCCGCGCGCCCAAGGGCACCTTCCTCGAGCCTCATCCGCCTTCCGCGGGTCTGCGAGTGTCGCCTGCGTCGTTCAATTGGCTTGGGAGGCACAACCAACCGCTGGCCGAGGGAGGGCTTCCGCGGGGCTTCCGCGAAGCTTCGGAAGTCCCCGAATTTTGGGGGGCTCAGCCTCACCCCTTATTGTACGTCTTGAAGAGTGTTGTCAGTCTTTCCGAAGAGCTTCCGCGCAGGAAACTGCTTGAAAACCTTCTGCGGGCTTCCGTGCGTGGGCTCTGGGACAGTTTTTCAGGCCAATGTTGGCTGGTTGACTAAACAAGGCCGTGGCAATGTAGAACACTGGTGGGGGAAGTCCAAAATGGAAAATCGAAATGCACATGGAAGCTCAGGGGTTCTCTTCCTCCCCAAATTCAACTTTCAAGGAGGCGAGGACAGCTGTTGGCAAGGTGGCAAGGGCAGCCGCACACCTCCAATGAATCAGCCGGCACATTGGCAAGGTGCCGCCAGTTAAGAGAGGGCGCCTGCAAGGTGGCATCGAGGCTTTCCCTACATTTTCCTCGATTGACTGCGCGGTGGACTCACAGAGCGGCTCAGCCGGCTCAGCTGCGCTTAGAGCAACATGTGCGGTCACACTGCCCATACTTGAGGTTGTTTGCTCGGATCGCCGAGGTTTGCTTCTGTCCACACATGGCCCATTGCGTCCTCAAACTTCTGGATGCAGTATAAAGACAGGTCATTTTTGCGCACCCCTGGTGCCTGGGCCTCGTTCCTAGTTTCGGGTGCCTCATGTGGGCAAGAGAATCAGTCCGCAAAGCACTCAGTGGGCAGTCTCCCTGCGCAAATGGCACCAAATCGTGCGTGTTTTCTTGCTTGATGCTTCTGTAGGTTTCTTTGTAAAGCTCATATTTATTTAACACTGGCCGGGCACCGGGCAATGAGCGTGCCTTCTGCAAAGGCTTCCACATTTCGAGGGCCATCAAAATGAGAACGTGCGTCCAAAAGAACGTTTTGCACAATGGTATGAGCAATCGCTAAATTTGAGTTCGCCTGCATTATACACATTCTGGAGACATTCTAGATCCTTTCTGCTGTCTATATCAAAGTCATGTTTGGAGGGTGGCCCCTTCCAGAATGCAGGTGTCATGAAAATGGGCCTGTACTCATTGTCATAGATGTCCTTCCCGAGCGTCGCAGAATGCGGCCCAGTCGTTGGAATTTGTGGCACGCCTTGCCCAGGATACGCCTAGCTCGGCTAGCTCGCTTTGGAACCAGGCTCATCTCAGCGTTCGCTGTAAATGTTGAGAGTCTCTCCAAGTTTGGTTGCAGCTAGAGCCCGTACAAGGCTCACCGGCAGGCAACTCCGGGCGAGTGAGAAGCCTCCCAAGCAGTCATGAGCACCTGAAACGCTGTTTGCTCACGCCAGGCGCGGCAAAATTATAAGAGTGGCAAGAGAGGGGGATGCCCCATTAACTCAACAAGCTCCAGCAATGTCACATGAGCCACAGTCAAAATAAGTCCCAAAGTGTATTCGCTTTAAAATGTTCGAGCCATTCTCCAAGCAGGTTTCAGCACTTTGCCGGTGTATCGTGCGAGGGTGGTTCTTGTTGTTTCGTCACCTATCATAGTCCACGCAAAGTGCGACGAATTCTGTAAACAAAATTTGGTGGTTTAAATCTGCCTCATGGTCATTGTGCAAAAAAGTATTGATCCCGCCGCACGTGCCTGACGGGCTTTACAAATACTGCGACAAGGTCCTTTGGGAAGCCTGATCGAGATATTCCCAATCCGCGGGAAGAGAGTGGGGCCCACAAACACACCTTGTGTTCCGGAATATGCAGCTCCTTTCTTTTCACAAACCCCACGGGTTTGTCTCGCAATGGAGGAGGCCTCCCAAATGATTTGAAACGGATTCAAGTGAAACCAACGATGTTCCAGGGCTCCGATCTTTGGAATCGATGGTTTCATCAATCCGTTTCACACCAATCAATCACACTGCAGTCACTACAGTTTGGGCTCACACTTTTCATACCCTCCCAAAATGGGCTGAGGCACCCCTGCAATTCGTTGCAGGCCCCTCGAGGGGATTTGCTAGGTCAGCTGGCGACCTGGGCTGTTAGTTTCTATGACGCCTTGGTTCTGAAGGTGCAAAGTACTGCGCCAGGCGGGGCATTACAACCGTGGCGGCTGTGAGGGGCGCATCGTGCAAGCATATCGCTTCTTGTGAGCCGCCTATCGCTTTCCATGCAGGTTGCAACGAATACTGCAAAACATGACTCGGTATTTTGTATCTGCTGCATGATCATCTAGATCCCGCATCAGATGCTGGGCGGAATCAAGGTACTCCGACGTTCGCTTCTCCAGGTGCGATCGTGTCGGGCTGCCGCAAAAAAGAGCAGAGCGAGAAATCGGCGATGTACACACAAGCCGCCATCTTGGTTGAGGTCTAGGAACACACATACATCTCGCGTCTTTTTTTCGATTTGGGACTCTGCCAGAACGCAACTGCGAGAATGCGCAACTTCTGATCAACCCCCCCTTTCCAGTAGGAGGCGGTCTGGTCAGCCACAGAAAAACCTGTGGCAAGCTTTTGCAGCGCAAGACAGTTTGCGGAGATAGCACGCACGAACAGGCACACGAGCACAAATCGGCCAAGCTCGCTGCGTCAATTGAGAACGCTGCGGAGCAAATCTCAGTGGAACTTCAAGTTCCTGCAGAAATGGCAAGGCAACGCCAACGCAAGCGATCGGACACGTGTTGTCTTACGGCAAGTTTTGCAGACTATGATCTCCGGCTGGGGGCATCCGGCTGTTTGTTCGAAACAGGTGTGGGCACGTTCACCAGGCTGATTGAAATGCAAGGACACTGGGTCACGAACTGCGGCGAGTCGAGCGCAGCAGGAACAAGGAAACTGATGTCCACGGAATTGCCAGTGGGTGGCGGAATGCCGGAAATCGAGCTGATTAAGCAGGACTCAAGCTACATGGCCTCCACGATTTGGACCATGCACTGCTCAATCTTGAGGAAGTATGCCAAACCTGGCCGCAAACAGGCTCAGCGATTCAGGTGACAGCCTGTGCACTGATCAGTGCAAAACAAACACCCTGAAGAAAAGTTCAGCCCGCGTCATGTTATATATGTGAACAACATGAACAAAAAGGGGCCCCACATCTGCGGATATTGCTTGGGAGATATGTCGGCTTTAGGCAGGGTCACTTGGAATTGGACCGCTCTATGGCTTTGCCAGCATCAGTTTTCTCTTGTGGACCAGCATATGCTTTTAGCAGGAAAGTGATCTTTTAGGTTGCTTTCCCAAATGGTCATCCCATGCAGGAATTGGCACTGGAACTTGAAACCAACCCCTCAGAAACGGAACTCCGATGCATCCTGAGTTCAGTGAAAACAAAGGCAACGACTTCCGTAAACTGAAGCAAGCAGCATAAGGCCAGAACACCAACCCTAAGACAGGGGCCTCCAGTACAAGGGCATGGGCTGCAGCAAAAGACATCACACAGACCACATACACCGACTCGCCTGAGATCCCGCAATAGTCCGCGTCCATTCCGCAGTGGCCCGCAAGGTTGTGACAAAATGCGAAGCCAAGCTTCATGGCTGCAGTCTTGCAAAAAGGACACCTGTCAAGGTTCTTTGGCTCCTGGGATGTGTGTTGCATAAGTTGTTTGCTTCCATATGCGACACTTGGCAGCTTCGAGCGCATTCCAAATTCTTAGCACTTGCCCCACTGGCCCACTGAGCTGCGGCACCTTGCGGTGGAGAAACACTTGGACCCCAGGCTTCCGTGCGGCCAGAAGGCTTGCAACAAAGGGGCCATTCTCTGTGCTTGCAGGCTTCGCGAAAGTGATTGACATACACGGCCTTGGCCATTCCACGATGGTTTTAGTATAGTGACAGCTCATCAAAACAAGCATGCAGAATGGCTGCCACACCGCTTTGCAAATGTCACGATATACGCGCCTGATGCAGAAATTGCCGATCTACGTCTAAAAATGGTGGGTCTACGCCAAACAATGCCTTTCCACACAGGAACCAGCGCTGTTCAAAACATACCTCCCCGTCATTTGGTGGCGTTCTATCATCCACACTTATCCTTCGCCTTATGAGGATCAAGCTTCCAGAACCTGAGCCGGCTCTCGTGGCTAGCGTGAAGCAACCCGGAGATCATGTCAAACAAAAGCCGTTGTCCAGCAAGCTGGTCTTTGGTGTCAAGGAAAACACGGGGATGCATCCCGCAGAAACACGTGCCTAAGCATGCACAAGGTTGACCGCTTGCATCCAAATCGTGAGATGATGCCAGTTAAGCTCCTTAGAATATGTTCTTGTTTTATCTTTTTCACTGCAAATCTAGGCTTGCTATTGGATCACTATGGATTTAGCTCGATGCGGTAATGCTAGGCGCGATGCAACGCCGACCACCAACAGAAACGAAAACATACTCTTATGCTCTGGAATCTTCATGACACAGTTCGAGGTGACAAGAAACCAGACCTACCATTCCGTTCTGATCCTGCTTGAACTCCCTGGGAAAGCTACACCCCCACCCGCACCGCTTCCCCAAAAAGAAGCCATGATGGCACAGGAATTCCAAGTTTCAATGGACACGGCCAAGAACAGTCCCAGTCTTTCTGCGGTTGTCTCAACGGAAAAGGATTGAGAAGTAAGCATCACTGAACCAACCGGCTAGACGACAGCTCCAACAACTGAGTGTGCGATGCGCGACTGTACGAGCATGTGCCCACGAGAGAGAGAGAGAGAGAGAGAGAGAGAGAGAGAGAGAGAGCGGTTCAGGATGGAAACCACACACCGCATAGAACTATCATTTTGCGAGCAATCTCCTTTCGGCCCCCCCCCCCCCCCTCGCCCACCATTTATGAATTCCGTGTTCCTTGCTTGGAACAATCCTGAGCTCAACATGCGGCTGGTCCACTCGAATCAGTCGAGGCGAGCACCGGAGGGTCGGCCCTTGTCCTGCTGCATCTTGCAGAGGCCTGGCCCGCGATGCCCCTGCAAACTCACCAATGGAACCCGCAAAATAAGCTGATTTGTAGAGGAGTCTACTAGGAGAGTAGCCTGCAGTCGTGTTTTTGGGGTGCCTTGGCCTGTCAATTGGACGGAGCAAACCTGAGACCTCGGGAAGAAGACTTCCATTTGTCTGGGATAGTGTACTCAAGCAAAAATCTTCAGGCCCCTGCCCATCCCCCATGATTTAGAAAGTCAGGTGTGGTTCAACAACCATACAATCTGAAGCGCGACCAGCACCTTCTAGCTGGGAAAAGCGATCTCGCAGTCCATCATTACTGCCGTGATTGTATGAGCTCCGGACAAAAAGCACCGGTTTCCGCAAGAGGACTCCGGAAAATTGGGCAGGCACCCTGGTTTTTGAAGGAAGTTTGAGCGCGCGCCCCCCACGTCCTGCCCAATTTAACAATAGACAACCAGTATATATTATCGTTACTGTTCTCTGTTGCTCGAAGGCATCCACAATCCCAATATGCGTACACGACAATACTGCAAAACCATGTGGATGTGTCCCAAAACCGGAAACACCTCAAACGAGCGGGTTTCTCGCTCCAACCAAATAAGGCGGGGCATCCGCTTCCTGGAAGGCCAGGCAGGCCAAGCTGCGTGAGCTGGGCCCTTGCCTGCGTGAGCTCGCTTCATGGCGTGGCCCAGCTCTGTCTCCTCAGGGCGAGGACCAAACCATGAAAGCTGATCTTAGTTGACGGTGGAAGGGGAGCAAAAAAATATATAATTTTTAGCAGTTCAGTGGGGGTTTCCACCTAAACCACAATAAGCAAAAATATAAAATGCTTCCCAACAACAAACATGTATATATTGCGGAAACCTATGTTCATAAAGTTTATCTCTGACATGTGAAATTATTCACCTCCATATTGCCCATTGTGGTGTCCACTTTGAAAGGCGGCAATGGAAGCAAGATGGAAGCAAAATGCCCTTCTCCTTGCACTGCTTTGAAGGAAAACCAAAGGGAAGCCAACCATTTTGAGGTCCGATTCCTGTTGTTGAGAAACACAAACACATGGCCTGCAACATGCTTCCATTTGCTTGTCGTCCCTGGAACAAACAATGCCCTGTGATAGGTTCCCTCTCACACCAGTCGAAAATAAAGATGCATATTTCAGCAAATGGAAGGTTTCTGTAAAGGCATCCTCGCAACAAACCCACGAAAAGCACATTTGCAACAACATCCACAACACATCGCCCAAGACAGCCCAAAGACATCCCTCACACAATTGCACACGCCAAATGACACTCGCGCAAACGCATGCACGCGCCTGCAAGCAAGACACTTCAAAACGACCACGACACAAACACGCAACATTCCAAAACACTGCGCCTCTGCAGCGAAACAACATCCAACGAGCCCTGAGCTACGAGCCCCACGCAGGCACAACAACTGCGCCCTTGACAAGTCACAAGGGACGCACAATTTGTGCAGATTTTGGCCACCCAGGCACAGGAATCTGCTACAAGCTTGCAGTTTGGTTGAACATAGGACTTGTGAAAGTCAGCTTTCCAATTTGGCTTGTCACGTTCATGGGTGAGCCCTCAAAAAACAACCCTGCCCGGCACGTGGCCCTGCACATGCTGCGAAGGCAAAGCTGCCAAAACTTGCCCACCTCTCTCGTGACTTATGCCCCGACGACGCCTTGGAACGCCTCGCCTCCTGCCAGGTGTCGCTGCGCCCTTTGGCGTGCGCCTGCAGGGCGGCTTCTGCCTTCCCGGCCGCCTGGCGTGCTCGCGCGCCCGGTGGGTTCTTGGAGGCTCGGTACTCGCAGAGTTGGTGTTAAAGAGGTCGCCCAAAAGGGAAACCATCATTCGGGTGTCTTTGTTGGAGTTGGTACCTGGTTTAGAAACCAAAAGCAAGACCACCGTGTTGGGGGTCCCCTAAACAAGATACTACGATACTTTTTATTGATTGAAAGCCCCGAGTTTGACACATTTCTTGAACGAGCCATCGAAATGTGTCGGAAGACGTGGAAGGATTATTTGTAGGGGGACCCCCCAAAATCACTGGTCTCCTTGTGGTTGCCCTCAAAACAGAAAAACGCAAAGGGTACCAAAAACAAAATCCAACCCATTTGGTCAAACATTTACCAGGTCGCAAAAGTTGCGGACATCTCTGACTCAAGGCTCGGGACAAAAGGATGCGCACGCACCTGACAAGACCCCGACCCTTCAAATGAGCCCAGAACCCATCGGGGCCGTAGGGCAGACAGAATTTCAACCTTGGTTCTCCATATGCACTTACAAATAGTGCCCTTATGTTTCCTCTTCTGAATTCAAAAAAATGATTCAACGCGGCGATAGAGGCTTGCTTCAAAATCAAGCAGCGAGCATTTCAGGCTTCGGTGTTGTAAGCTCTTCCTATTTTGACCTGCCTACGCACGTCGCGAAGCCCCTAGACCCATGTTGACTATGACTTGGCTCCAAAAAGCCGATGGTATCCAATTGAATTCTCACGTGGTTTTCCCTTGAAAGCAATCCCGAAAAGGGTCAAAAAAGACATACCCATGCGGTTCGACCAAACTATAACGTACGGCTTAGCTTGGAAGTGCCTCCGGGGACTCGCTAAAATGCCCAAGACCGAGGAAACAAATCCTCTCATTTCCCATAGGTTTCGGCTCTAGCCATTGCCTCCCTGTGGGGAGACCTGTGGGGTCGCTGAAAGATTACTGGAGCGTGTCGCCAACCACATAGCAATTATTCCCAGCCCGAAAAAACACGGGCTGCGACAGAGAAATGGATGAAGAGAGCAAAGGTGGGTCCGTGCCAGTTTGTATCCTTCGGTCGTTGGTTTCCCCACTTGCGTTTGATTGAAATTCCAAATATGCCCTGTAATGTCTTGAGAGCATCGCAAAGGCAAATGCTTGGCATCGTAAAATGCCCGGCACTGGAGAACTGGGGCCGGATGGAAATGATGGACACGTGTCTTTTTGGAACCAGTGGGGAAGATGTAGTATGATTGATCAAGCAGGAAGAAGGGGTCTTTACTTTGCCGTTTTTCTCACTCCAATGACAAGATGTGTTCAAGCATGTGTAAACCAAATGCGGTGTTTGATGAGTAAGTCGCACGATGGAGACCCAGCCGGGTGCCTGGTCGGGCTCCTCGCAGCGGTCGCACTCACAAACGAAGCCAAAGCGCCCCGTGATGAAGACCTTGCGCCTCGCAAACCAGACAACTCAGTCAGTTGACCCCTGGGAAGAGTGAAACCCAACAAGGTTACTCGGGAAATTGCTTGAAAATGAAGGCTCGGCCATGTTGTTGGCCATCTAGGTTACAGCTGGGTCTTCGGGCAAAGTTGTTGGCAAAGGTTATGACGCACTGATACGTCCCCCGTTCAGTGCAGTTGGCCCTGTTAGCAGTGGCTTAGGACCACTTACTTTGTGAGGCCGAACATCCAACTACGGGGGTCGACACTAAGCTTGGGGGACCTGCCCTGGCGGGTTGATTTTCAGGGATCAGGATTCAAATCGTGGTTTCGGAACAAATGATACATACCGTACACGTACTGCAGCTCATCCTGGTGTTGATGAATCTTGCTGTCGTTATGAATGTCATTGTTCGTACTGTATAATTGTGCATTGTCATGATCACCGCCATCCACACACTGAGTATGATCATTGTCTCAACTTGGCACGACCTCCCATCACTGCACTCTGAAGCATGTAACCGTCTCAGATCCACACAAGGCAAAGCCACCCCTCCGCCAGTCTAGGCACTGAGGTTCCCGGCAAATCCTTCGGCAAGCAGATAAGCTCGTCCGAGTAATGGATTCTGGCCGCGTGAGGGGTCCAACGTCCAACTCTCAGCCTCACCCCTCCACAGCACGACTCCCGCCCTGAGATGAGAAGGTGGCAACAGCGGTCCGGAATCCCAGACTACCCGCCCTTTATCCGTACCCAAGTCCTAAAAAGGTGCGAAGTGCCCGACCTGCTCTCCTCAAGCCTTGCCAAGCGCAGCCACCAGCCGTACCATGCCCCAACTGACTTGACGTCGTCCCGAGGGCGCTCTGTTCCAAGTTCTAGCGGGCTGGAATCTGAGAGAACCCACCGGCTTAGAGAACAATGTCTCTCGCTGTCTTTTGCATTCCCAGAATGGTGCAAGCAACCCAGTGTGACTCATTCACCCATTGGCACCCTAACTTTGTCCCAAACCAATGGCGGTTTGATGTCATTAGGCCCCTGTGTTCTTGCTGGTTTCGATAGGGAAACAAGTAAGATGCACCAACCAATGGGCCTTCAATCCCCTTCATACTCATGGAGCCGATGCCCATTCGCATGACCAGCTCCGTGCGAGTCGCCGCATAGAACACAGCAACCCCCCCCTGGTCCAAATACGCACTTGTTTATAATACAGTATCTGTTTAAGCTGATGTCCCGCTGTCAACACCTCCTTCTTGTTGGCATTGAAGTAGACCAAGTTTAATCAAGGGTCGCTCTGCAATTTCGAGCTTTCTTGGGCGCCCGGTCCAGTCACTAAGCGCAACCTGGAGCACATGCTATGAAGCCCTCAAGAAAAGCCTGGCACATGTGTTCTACTGAAACTTTTGGGCTCAAAAGGCTCAGGTGCTTTCTACCTGATCCAACCTATTGAAACTTCCAACATTCCAACAAAGTCATGTCGGCTTCTGTTTTACTTGAAACAGGGCCCTGGTATGGCAATTTCCACCCATTTCGCGCCGCAGCCCACCCACCCCCCGCTCGTGCTATGTCTACAATCAGCCAGCGGGGCGTGAGCTCGGCTCCCTGGACTCGGAAAGACAAAGCTGCGGATGGGGAGTTGGGTGACCATTCTGCCTTCCAAAGGTGGGGTGTGTGAAACGATAGAAATGCACCATGTGTCGCTTGGCAAATTAGCACAACTCCCGGGCAAGAGACCTGTCACACATTTCTCAGGTGAGCGAATAGGGCGAGAGGCAACTGCTCTAGCAGGAAATTCGAGACTGGCCATTTGCTTCGTGCCACGACTGAATGAGACAGCGCAAGCACCTCCCAAACGACTGCTTTCTGTACTGCACTCCAAAAAAAAAAACATTGGGTGACAGGAAGCAGATTGCCTCATTTGACTGGCAGGCTAGCAAGTGATTTCTGCTCGAGCAACCAACAAGGCCTATCGTAATCACGCTCTCGGCCTTGAAAGTAAATAGCATTTGTCAGACTTCTAAGCAAGTTACGAGCATGGATCCTTCCAACATTGTGTCCAGTGGAGACCTCACACGCCGTGAGGCCAAGGCAAGTCCATCCCTTCAGGGAACCTGGGGTGAACCTGAGGTCACCCCCCAGAAAAGCCAGACCCGGAAAAAATGATATGGACCAGGTGTGGCTGAACAAATCGTAAAATCTGCGGCCCCCTTCTGAAAATTTGACAAGACCAAGTGGGTCGGCGGTTGGCCCAAACCCGCCTTCTCCACCGGGCGAATGGCCAAGACATGGGTCAGGCCAGTTGCCCTCAGAGCCAGGCGGGTGTGTTCGCATTGGAGCCCGGAAATGGGACGGCCCCAAAAAACAGACACAAAGGATCGCAGATTGCTAGGCAATAAACATGAGGCTGAAGCTGCCCCTGGTTGGGCTGGAGTGAATCGGTTCCAGATCTGTGCCTTGGGCGCCACTCTGATTGAACGGGGTTTCAGGGATCAAGTCGAAGAACTCATCGGAAATCCGGAAAGATTCCCAGCAGCTTCAAGGTGTTGAACCACCCACTGAAATTGCAATAAAAGCTTTGGGAGCTGCTCACTTGCTGGAGCGACGGCCCAAAAAAATGGAACTGCGTTGGCTGCTAATTCAATGATTGCCAAGCCAGGTCTGAATGCCCCTGAAATGTAGGCGCCATGTGTATCTGATGTTGCTTCATTGGGGAAAAATCCGCCGACGCCAGTCGAGCGTGTAGATGGCAGTCCGCAACTTGGTATTCCTTCGCAATCTCTTATCAAAGCCAAAGGCTTTTGGGACTGCTATTTGTTGGGCATGCTGTGGGTGTCCAAAACATGTATTTGTCCAGTGTTTTGGGTCTTTCGTGCTAAAAGTCTGCGTTTCGAGTAGGTCTCTAAGGGGGGGGGGGGGGGAGTTTGCCCCGGACGCGCAGGATCTGCATCCCCAGCATCATCAGGATTGCCTTGTTGCCATGAAATTGTCTATTTTTTGCAGATACTAGTGGTGTTTTGCCGTTTCAAGCGATGTTGAAATTGGCCTGTTAGGGGTTTGGGTGGGGCCAAGTGCAGTGATACTTTGAGGAACTGTTGAAATTTGCAAAAATGAGTGCTTTTTTCAATTCCCCACCTGTGCCGGAGCAGTTACTGCGAAACATCCCCTGCATTATCGTGCTTTTGGAAGTCTATTTTTAGGGTTGCAAGTATCGGCTTTTGATGGTTGCTTTTGGGAAATATCTAAAAACCCGGCTGCATTCCCAGCATTCCCCACATCTCTGGTATTTTCTGCGTTTGGTCAATGTTGCGTGTCTGAAAGTCTTAAAATCTTGAGCGCGAAGATTGGGTCTGTTCCTGTAAGTTGTGTGGTTGCATCCCTTGCATTTCCAGCATCCTCAGCACTGGGACATGAAAAACAGGAAAGTGCCAAGAAGGCCTTGTTGTACTTAAAAAATGGGGCCTTGCTTTTATACCCTTTCGGGGGGTGGTTTAAAGAGTAGACCCTAGTGTTCTTCTCCTGTCAAGCGTTCAGCCCTGCTGCCGAAGTCAGAGCGACGTTGTTTGCATTCTCGTTAAGAGAACCATGTGACCGAAGCAAAAAACATCTTTTTCCTTACACAATTTCAAGGCACCCTCTCCTTCCACGTGTTAAGAGCCCCATGTGACCTAGGCAAAAAAACGTCTTTTTCCTTGCCCCACATTCAAGGCACCTCAGAGGGGCGTTGCTTGTTCTCCTTCCAGGCGTTAAAAGACCCATGTGACCTAGGCAAAAAGACGTCTTCTTCCTGTCCCCAAACTTGAGGTCCTCAAGTAAAGCGTCGTTTGGTCTCTTTTCACTTGTTAAGAGCCCAAAATGACCTAGGCAAAAAGAACGTCTTTGTCCTTACCCCAAATTCGAGGCACCCTCTCCTTCCATGTGTGAGCCCCATGTGACCTAGGCAAAAAAAAAACGTCTTTTCAAGGCACCTCAGCTTGTTCTCCTTCCACAAGGGGCGTTGCTTGTTCTCCTTCCAGGCGTTAAGAGACCCATGTGACCTAGGCAAAAGGACGTCTTGTTCCCGGCCCCAAATTCGAGGCAATGTGTGAGAGGGGCGTTGTTTGCGTTCTCCTTCCACGCGCTCTTGACCTAGGCAAAAAACAAGTATTTTTCCCTACCCAAACTCAAGGCACCCTCCAGCCGACGTCAGAGCGGCGTTGTTTGTTCTTCTTCCACGCGTTAAGAGCCCCACGTGACATCAGCCCCAGTTTATTGATAGGGGACTGTCCACTGGCGTCGGCAGATCGCGTAGCGTTTTCAATACAAGATGCTCCAGATTCTGGAACCTTTGTCATGACTCAAGTGGGGAACCAAAATTGCCTTGTGTTGTCTACAACTATCAGAGAAGACTGGAAAACATCGTGGTTGTTTATGTGGGGCGCTCTTTGCCCTGCGACAAGGGCCCAAAATACGACTACATAGGAAACACACATAGGAGGCTGCGGTACCCACACCGATTATTGCCCTTTTTCCACACCAACTACACCTCCTATCCCACGACTGCCTCATACATCTGCATGTCATCGCCTTATGATCAGTTGAAGCCGTACACGAAACATCCAAACAAGCCCTGCTCGGTGTCCAAACCGGGCCAACCCGGCGGATGCCGGTAGGCAGCACAAGTCGGCCTCAGGGATGAGCGTGGCCGATGAGCAGCCGGATGCATGGTTGGCTTAGCTGAATGGTTGGGCGCTTGGAAGGATATGGGTGTGTGTCAAAATAGGGGGCCCTGAACATGGTTGCTTTCTTGTTGGTTCCCTTTTGTGTGCAATCCTTCAACTTGGAAAGCAGCTTACATCCGTTTCACCCCACTTTCTAAAAAAGGCCCTCACTTCCCAGTGCTGTGGGCAGGCAAGCATGTGCAGGCATCTGCAAGCTTTCTTTCCCTTCCTAGTACTTGGCCTATGGTTCCCAAGTGTTTGTTTGGGATTCCACATATGTGTCAGAAAAGGTGGACTCCCAACATTGTGGTTTTCCGTTAAACCAACCCTAAGAAGGGTACCCTCAACAAAACATCCCCCACAACCCCCTGTTCAAACATGGTTAAGATCTTAAGCAACCTCTCTCTGGCCTCACTTGAAAAGGTGGCCGAAACAGATCAGGCTGCTGGAACACCTGGGCATGTGTCAAAATAGGGGAACCATCAAAATGTGGCGCTCCTTTTAGTTGCGAAGTAATAGGGAATGGCTACCCCCAAAAAGCCCATCTCCACATAGTGAGCCCCGCGCACTTCCCCAGGTCCCCAAGCCAGCAGCTGTGGTTGAAGATCGCCAGCCTATCGGGTTTCTCAAGCTCGTGGTCTCCGGTTCCATGCGTTTGTTTGGGGGGGAACCACCCATGCTGTGTTTCGCGGAAAAAAATGGGGCCCTGCAGGTGGTTGGTTTTTCTTGGCGTGCTTTCCACCATTGTGAGAAACTCCTCCCAATTGTCAGAAAAGGACGGGCTCATTGGATGGCCCACACAACCAGACTGACACCAGAAAGCTCCTGCAAGGCTGAGACACTCTCCTCGACGTGCTCGCACTGCTCTTGAAAAGTCAATGAGCCAGCCTTTTTGACAGCTCTGAGGCGACTGCTTCGTGCATTTGTGCGTGTGCATGTGCATGTGCATGTGCATGTGCATGTGCATGTGCATGTGCATATGCATGTGTGTGTGCATGTGCATGTGCATGTGCATGTGTGTGTGTGTGCATGTGCATGTGCATGTGTGTGTGTGTGTGTGCATGTGTGTGCATGTGTGTGCATGTGTGTGCATGTCTGTGCATGTGTGTGCATGTGTGTGTGTGTGTGTGTGTGTGTGTGTGTGTGTGTGTGTGTGTGTGTGTGTGTGTGTGTGTGTGTGTGTGTGTGTGTGTGTGTGTGTGTGTGTGTGTGTGTGTGTGTGTGTGTGTGTGTGTGTGTGTGTGTGTGTGTGTGTGTGTGTGTGTGTGTGTGTGTGTGTGTGTGTGTGTGTGTGTGTTGCTGTTTTGTTTTTGTGTGTGGGTGGTGTGTGTGT